CATGTGGCAATGTGCTTCATGCGTTCATCGCTGCTTTTTAGGAATACGTAGTACTCCATTATATGTATTTACCACAGTTTTTTGACCCATTCATCCGCTGATGGAAATTTGGGTTGTTTCCAACTCCTTGCAGTTGTGAACTGTGCTGCGATGAACATTGGTGTCTGGCCGTGGTTTGTTTCTTGCCTCTCCTGGGTATATGACCAGTAGGTGGATTGCTGGGACGTATGGTAATTCAATTTCCATCTGTTTTAGATATCACCAAATTGATTTCCATAGGGCTGTGCATACCTACAGGTCCACCAGCAGTGGACTAGAGTTCCTATCTCACCACAGCCCCTCCAACACTTGTTAATTTATATTTTTTGAATTGGGCTACCTTTGAGGGTGTTAGGTGGTTTAATATGCATTTCTCTAATGGCTAATGATTGGGAACATTTTTTCGTATGTTTATTGGCCACTTGGATTTCTGCCTCTGTGAAACTTCTGTTTAGGTCCTTTGCCTATCTCCTTAGTGGGCAGTTAGTTTTTTCTTATTGTAAGCTTGCAAAGTATTGTAGATTTTAGTAATAAGGCCTTAGTCTGATGTGTCATTGCTACAGATGTTTTCCCAGTTGGTGGGCTCTCTTTTTACTCTCTTGGTGAATTCTTTCGATGTACACAAGTCAGTTTGTGACTCCTCTATATTTGTATCCTTTCCTATTTCCAATAGCTTATGTATTCCCTGCGCCAAGGTTCTCTCAGATTTATCTCAATTCCCTCATTAATGGCTCTAATAGTTTGGGGTTTTTAACTTCAAGGTCTGTGATCCACTTTGAGTTTATTCTTGTGCATGGAGTGAGGTAAGGGTCTTGCTTCATTTTTCTGCAGGTAGATATCCATTTTTTCCAGCAACAATTATTGAAGAGGGCATCTGCTTCCCATTTGATATTTTTTGGGCCCTTGTCAAAAATCAGTTGTCTGTATGTTGGTGTTTTTATTTCTGGGGTTTCAGCTCTTTTCCATTGGTCTGAATATGTCGTTATACCAATACCACACTGTTTCGAACACTGGCTTTATAACAGGTGCTAAAGACAGGTAGAGCAAGCTCTCCCACTTTTGTACAACCGTTATTGATATCCCTCTCCAAATTGTTCCACCACCATTAAATAGACTCCATGCCCCTAAGCAGAAACTCTTTCTCCTTCACCCATGGTAACCATAGGTTAACATTGGTGTCTTTCTTTCTTTTTTTTAAAGGTAGTTTTCTTGATAAAATAGTCACATATCGTACACTCCCATAGTTACATTGCTTTTAAGAAGAGTTGTCTATACATCATCAGAATAATTTCTAATGCTCCCTCCCCACTCCTGCATTCATTGATTGCTTCCCAGTGCCCCGTACCCTC